TGCATGTTTGCCCATACCAACCAACGACCTGACCATATATATATATATAACTATTTCTCAAAAAGCCCAAACAACAAAACCAGTTGTGATGCCACAGTGGTGAATACCTTAGATCTTCTTCAGAAGATCTCAGGTGTTGTTTACATTTTAAAGGGTATTAAACGGTGTTTTGCTTCATCCTATTGCTGGGGCGCGTGGAATCCCCTTTGGACATTGTGAGGTGAAATACTGAAGAAAAACAACAATACGACGGTTTGGGTCCAGCAGAGCGGATGTGAAGACACCTAGAACCTGAGTGGGGCCAAAACCATGAACTTGTCCCATCAAAACAAAGGTCAAATGGGTTCGTTTGGTATGGATAGGGCATGATAATACAGGGCACGTCATGTTGGACTGTCTGTTTCTTTCGAAAGGCGTTAAGTATCCGAGGTTTCAATAACTGCAGCTTAAATTCCGGTAACACATCAAAAAATCCGGTGAAACATCCACGTGGAGATCTTTTTACCAGATATATAGCCTGTTCAATTGACGATCAACATTGCTAAACTGAACCCATGGGGATTCCACCCTTGAGAGCCACCACTTAGGTGCATTTTTTTTCAACGGTGTGAGTTTGTCGAGCAGCTGTATCCATCGGTGGTGATTTGGGCCATAACTCAAACCAGAGAAGTGCAATGTCCCATAACGTCCCTATGTTTCGCTTGCAAGCATCAGCAGTACATTAATTACGGGTCACGAACCAGTTACTACCCTTTGCTTTTCATTCACAGTTTGGACATACTATCTACCCCAAAAACACGGTAGCCGTCCATGAATGAAGGTGACTTGAAGGACAAGACTGGGGCTGTATGACGGTGATTCTTCGAGTTGAATTCCGCCGTAGAAGTGGCGAACCCGTGCTTGGTCTCCTTGGGTGTTTATTTTTCCGCGCACTTCGCGACCCACCGGGTCCCGTGCGGAACGCGCTCAGCCTCCGAGGCAGCAGCGACGTGGGGTCGCTGGAGCTCCCGATGGGAGAACTCCGCACGGGAGATGGGCCGACTCAAAAAGGGGCGGGTTCGGGATGAGATCAATGGTCTGGATGAGGTCAGGAAACAAGCGAGCTCACCCATAGACGTCAGGTGAGTGTTGCATCGCCCAAATCCAACAAATGGACTAATAGACATAGAGAAGTTGCTTTTGATTTTTTGAGGTACTTTGACCAGAACTGTTGGTAGCCACAAACTCAGCTTCCACCAGAAAAGATCCCACCTGTGGACCCAGACAATCTCAGATCTAAATTTGAAGCTATTGTTTGCCCTTTGGCATTCATGTTTGGAGTGGGTGACTGTAATGCTTGAAGCTAGGTAGCGGCTGTTTGGTGGGCAAAAGCCGATCAACGCACGATCCTGTGTTGCCCTTGGTTCTTTTGCAACATGTCACCTATCTTTGTTAGAAGCGTGTCCCAGCACAATTGTCAGCAGAAGATATTAGTATGAGATGCAGTTACAGTGGTTTCAAAGTAGATGGCACAAACCGCACGTCTTGTAGATGGGATACACACACATACATATATATATATACTGTGTATATATATATATATACATAACTTTTTTTATTGTGCAATCTAATACTCCCTGTATAGGTGTTTGGTGTTTTCTTCCAGTAAATCTTGACTAATGACTACTGGCAGTTGGTAGCACCATCCACTTGAACGGCGCCAAGATGTTGCATCTCACGTGGGCTTGTAGGTGCTTCGTGCTTAGATGGCCTCGATGCCAGCATAGACCGTTGAGGTCTTGGACAAAGAGTGGGAATAGACGTGACCTACCAACATCCACATCATGGATCGCTAGAGCATGACGCACATCGTCAGCAGTTTATAGCTTCCAGCTTAGGACCCTGGTTGCGGACTGGAGCCCAAGGCATATTCACAGACGCAGGTTGAAGTTGCACATCGTGGCTGTATGCTGGAACAGATCCCTCATGGTCCCGCATTTCTTGGTGCCACTGGCCAGATCCTGTTGATTCGCGACCGTTAGACGCCACCTGCAGATCACGTCATCGCCATGGCGGGTGAGGCGCCGGTGCTGCACAAATCCGTCGCGAGCTTTCAGCACCTGAGTGGCTCGGACGGAATATGGACATGCCTGTCAGTGGCTGAGTGGCAGAATGGACTATTTTACAGACAATGACATGGGAAGGATACAAAATTGCGCTTGAACAAAAACAGTGGAATGGTTCGTCCGAAACTGCCCGACACGTTGAACAGCACATAGTGAGGATGGCATAGCCCCATCAATGCCTCATCAGGACCTGTCACTGTCCACCGCAAAACCAGGCCTCAAAAACACGGGAGTTCGACATGGGCCCCCCCAAGTGATCGCTATCTCCAAACATGCTTAACATTGCACTTTTTGGGGGGGGAGCTTTGAGTCATCCTGCTTGCAGCAGAAGCTATACCTTAAAATTCCAGCCACCATTGATTTACGTAATAGCCTGAATCCCGACCACCCAGAGTTACAGTAATGTATTTCGACGACAAAGCCAGGTCAACCTTTCTTTCGGTCATTAGAGGGCCAGGGAAAGAATGAACCGAACGCCCCCGCGATCCACCAAGTCTTTCGGAAGTCGAGGACAGGAAAGCCTGAAGAAGGTGGTGGAAGAACTCTTAGCTCCAGCACCTTGGGCACTCAAACCTTTTGGCGGAAAGGGGCGACGCACAGGTCGAAAACCAGTCATGTTAGGTGAAGCACCTGGACCGACCCACGGCACTTCCGACCCACGGCCGTGGCACCGCGAGTCGGTGAAGATGAGACACAAGCAGCTCAGCATAGCCCGAAAAAGAACACCAAGGCCAAAGTCCAAGTGATTTGGACCGATTTGGACTAGCAATTTTCTTTATATATTTGGAGTTTCTTTTGTGAGCAGTTTGTTGATATACGTTCTTTTCTACTCAAGGGTGTTCAGTTCTTCTTTAGATCAGATACGTTGATCGAAAGCTCCATGTCTCATGAGGTTCATTTGCCAGCTGCAAGGCCCTGGCAGCAGTTCGAATCTGTGTCCGGGCGTGGAGGTGGAGATAGGTGGAGCTACACATTTGACAGTGTTTGTGAATGTATGGGGGCCCTACCGGTGGATGGGCTGGGCATTTCCAGATCGAAGGTTTTTCTGAAGCAGCATGGGGCAAATCCAACGACGCAAAGGGGTGGTAGAACGCAAGCGGTGTGTGGCCAAGTTCAGATCATTTGGTTTTCTGGATGCTTCACGGTTCCTATGCCACAAGGGTTGCTCGAGGAACTCAACCGCGGGGTTCCTCCTTCTTGTCTTCCAACCAGAGGCGTTCTGGTTCCTCCAAGCTTTGAAGACCAATCTCCAAAAAGAGTGGAGACCTCAAATAAAAGCAGGGTGGAGATGTTGTTGATATCAAAAGCCAAGAGAGGGATGAGTGTGCATTAACATAGGGAGACCTCCCAAATCGACCCCCTGGAAGAAGGGAAATAGACCGGTCCACCCATTGGTAGAGGCTCTACCTATTGAAATGCACACCCAAGTGCTTGGGGCGTTTCCTTTCGGAAACTGACTGCTTGCGCTGGTTCTTGAACGTTCTCGGAGTTCTCGGAGACGTTGAGCTGTTGGACCAGAGAAACACCCTGCCACCCACTGTAGAACATAAAGCAGGAAGCCAAGCAGGAAGCCAAAGGGGTATTCATCCGTCTCCACTGTGAACATGGTGCATTTTCGCTCGGAAAAAGCGATGAGCATTCTTGACTTTTCCGGAGCCAGGAACACCGGTGAACGCAGGCGTAAACGGAAACACATACCGTTGTTAGTCCCACTGGCTTTCC